TTCTTCTTCTTCCCCAGGTCTGCTTATTCGCCCAGCCCGGCCCGTCTCCCGCCTGGCGGAGCGCTGCGAAGTGGGAATCCCCGCGAGCGAGGTACGGTACGGACTTTTCCCCTTTTCCAACCCCCCCACCCCAAAAAAACCAAACCTCCCTTGCAAAAGGGTCGGAATGCCACGAAACGAAGCGGGTGGGTGGGGGGTTTTCCTCCGCTTCTTCTTGCCCAGAGTCAGTTTTCTCCCCCCTCCCCCCTTCCAGTTTTTAAAATTGCAACGCAACGAGCCGCCCCGTTGCCGTTCTGCAAACAAACAAACAAAAAACTACTTCGCGTTTCCTAGGCGGACGATGGAGAATCGGGGTTCGGTTCTCGAGTTTGTTTATTGTTTTGTTGTGTCCCGGGGTTCGATCCTGTTTCCCACACACGTGGATTTGGGCCAGAAGAAACCAAGTTCCTTCTTCCCTCCCCCACCCCGGATCTGCACACCTGGAGGTGCGCTTTCTCCTCCTTTTCCTCCTTGGAGAATGGGCAGTGTAGTCTCTGGGGAGGTGGGTCTCGGCGCTTAACGAGGAGAGGACTTCATATCCCATCATCAGCCCTCCCCTCCTTCTCTTGCAATTCCTTCTCTTGCAATTCATTGCCCTCTTGAGGATTTGGGTTCAGAAGCTCAAATTCGCTTTTATTACAGTATGTCCCAACTCCCCCCCACCCCAGGCAACTGGACTTTAAGGTTTTTCTTTGGAGACGTTTCGCTTCTCATCCGAGAAGCTTCTTCAGCTCAGACTGGATGTTAGGGCTGAAGAGCTGAAGAAGCTTCTCGGATGAGAAGCGAAAGGTCTTCAAAGAAAAATCAGAAAGTCCAGCTGCTTCTTGAAAAAAAGCACCTTTGGGACAGCCATAATCTGGAGAATCTCCATAGATATTTTATTACGGTAATTTGATAGCAAGAACAGGATCAGCTTTGTTCTGGAATTTGGCAACCTCTTGTGAAATCCCAGGATGTTTGCATGTCTGCAACAAGCGGCATTAAAAATCATCCAGATGTTGGCCAGTTGGGTAGATTAATCTGCAATGTTGAATTAATTAGGGTAGTTGCATGGTTTGCTGTGGGATGCTCTTTATTTAGAGAAACTTCCCTTTGAGCCAAATTTTCTCATGCAAAAAAATACAGGTAGCGTTCAACTTACAACCACAAATCTGGGTGGTTTGCAAAGTCCAAAAGTGGTGTTCTTTTTTTTTTTTTTCTTCAAGAAGCAACTGGACTTTCTGGTTTTTCTTTGAAAGCCCAGTAACCTCTTGAAAAAAAATAAAGCACCTTTGGGACAACCATGACCTGGATGACTGAGAATCTCCATGGACAAATCTGAACCAGCATTTCCATCATAACTTAAGATGGTCGTAAGCTGAGTATCCCCAGCTTTATGACTATTTTTTACCATGGTCATAAATTGGATCACTGCAGTTAAGCAAATTATTTCATCGTTAAGTGAATCCAGCTTTGGATGAAAATAACTAAAAAGTTGCAAATTTGTAACCTCTGGGCTGCAGCCCATTGCAGTCAGTCATAAATACAAGCTTGATGCCAATTGCTTGAATTGTGATCACATGACCCACCGGGGTGTTACGATGGTCATAAATATGAGTGCAACTTTTGGTAGATTACAGTTTGGTTTACTTTATTGTCATTGCACCTCGTACAACAAAATCAAACACCATCTTCAGTGCACATCATGACCATGAAAATAAACACACACATCCTCACACATTGAACTGAAAACCCACCAACACTGCACCAATACTGCACAATACAGTAGAATTCAAAAGAGAGTGTGGTTTTTGTCAGTCAAAAGTGTGTTTCCAAGCTAAATTTTTAGGCAAATAGTCAGGCACCTACCTCAATATTTCAGGTTTTTTTTTTCTGTAAACCTCTGAGCAATGCTACTGAATACAGGAAGAAGCCGCTTGGATGAGAAGCGAAACGTCTTCAAATAAAAACAAGAAAGTCCAGTTGCCTCTTGGAAAAAAAAGACACCTGTGGGGCACTAATTGAACTGTTGTAAGTCGAGGATTATCCGTATTCCATAGCTATTTTTGGGAACTGAACCCAATTGCACATAGACTTTAAAGGAATGAAGATGGAATAGTTTAAGAGATTCCTGTTATGGTTCGCCAGCAGCCTGTGCAGACGGCAGTGGAATCGGACAGTGGGGAAGAACGGGGACCAGTCTAGGAGTCTGGAGAAGACTTGGACGAGGGACCTGCGCCCAATGCAGAGATGGGGCCAGGGCCATCTGGGAGTGGGGTGCTACCTCCAGAGCCTCCGGAGTCTGGCAGCAGCGAGACAGAGGACCCAGGGGAGCCTGTTCCTAGTGCACATGTGAGCAGAGCTGCGAGAAGGCAAGAGCAACTGAAACAAAAGGGGCGGCTTGGGATTAAGGCTGGGAGGTGATTGTCCCATAAGGGATAAAGGACAGGCAAAGGTGATGAAACCTTTGCAGGAAGCAAAGTCGTTCCTTCTGTTCGGATTAATCCTTGAAGCTCTGTGTGGACTTTGTACTTCGGTTGGTTTTTTTGTATAATTCATTTGCACTTTAGTTGTTGGCAGCAATTCAAAGGGCAGAAAGGTGTGTTGCTTATCTCGAAGGGACTGTTTGGGACTCATTACGGGCTGGGAATGAAAATAATTCCCAGCGTTGAAATAAAACAAGGTTTGTTTTAACTAAGCACGTGCTTAATTACGGTCTCAGGAATCCTTGGTGAGAACAATTTCATTCTTGCTGAGATAGGAGGTTTCCTTCTCTTATTTTTGTTTATTTTGATAGATTGCTATCTATAGCACTATCCTAAGTACCAGGACTGTTGCATTGCTCACTCAGTCTCTAAATGTAGATCTTTATGCAGCCAAAAGGACATCATCCACTTACAGAAAGGAGCATCTTGAGGCTTTGAAAAAAGCAAAAAATTGGAGGGATGGAGCGGGGAAATTGAGCAGTCTGAGCTATATTTAATAGATTAAAAGATTGTGCTCATTTTCTATTAAAATTACATGGGTTTTTCCTTTTACGTTTATTTTAAAAACTTTGTACTGTAGATACATTTTATTATATTATGATTGCTGTATTGTTACTTCAGTTGATTACATTTCACTAAAATACTTAAAAAGAAAAAGTGTGCAGTGGAATACTTCTATGAGGGATGATGAGGATGATTTTTTTATTTATTCATATTTCACCTTTATTATTTTGATCAATAACCGAAGGTGTCAAACACGGAACTAGAATTCATTGTCTCCTAGTGGTTGGCCCAAACCCAGCCTGCCTTCAGGCCTAAGGCAGGATTAGAACTCACAGTCTCCTGGCTTCTAACCTGGTGCCTGACTCATAGACCAAACTGGCTCTCTGACGATGATTTATAGCAGTGCTTCCCAAATGTGGGTAAATTACTCAAAGTAAAAGTGGTTTTTCTCTGGATGACAGCGACCCCATCCCAATAGGGATATTCAAATTGATTTAAAGTGTAGTAAACTTTATTCTAAAATTTCCCAGAGTATTTCAGTTAGGATGAAAATCAATGAATTGCCTGTGGTAATCCCAAAGGTGCTTTTTCCAAACCTATTGAAATGATATATAGATCATTCAGTGATACTGTTTTCATTACACAGGTAGTCCTTGAGTTATGACCATGCGTTCAATGACCACTGAAAGTTTTGACGGTGCTGAAGGAAGGATCTTAAATTGGTCCTCTAGTTTGATAAGACTGATAAAGAGTTTTTGGGGAATGAAGGCAAAGTTTAGGAAGCATTGATTTACAGCTGCCCCACTCCAAGAAACTCTATTGATCTTCAAAGTCCAAAATACAGTTTAATGCCAGACCAGTGATCAGAGCAAGATTTATGAAGCAACTACAGCTTTCTGAGAATTCATGTTTCTGTAACCATGGCCTGAATCTTTTAAAGGCAAGTGGAACTCAACATGGTGCAAAGATTGAATGGATGCTGACTTTTGTCTTTCAGATGCCAGTGAATTTCAAAGAAGTTGCTATGTATTTCCCAGATGATCAAGGACTATTGCCGGATGTAGATCAAAGGAGTCTCTATGAAAGTGGCATGCAGGAGAATGGTAGGTGGTACTAACTAGGAATATTTTATGTTCAACTTTGGCCACTTTAAGTTGTGTGGACTTCAGTTCCCAGAATTCCCTAGCTAGCTTATGCTGGACGGAGAACTCTGGGAGTTGAAGTCGACCTATGTTAACCCAATGGAATTTGAGAAACATGGAACTACAGGATTGCACATCATCTGCTCCTAATTTAAGCTTTTGACCAATCTATTATGGAACCAACAAGCCAAATTTCCGTGGAGTTAAAAAAACAGGATGAACGTTACTAGTGGCAATACCTATAAAAGATAGAATGAAAAAATGCTGATGTTATGTAGTTTGAGTAATGAAACATCTGCAAGAAAAACAACTACGGTAAACTCAGAGAGCACCAAGGGCCCTTCAGTGAAAAAAAAAACCCCTAGGATATCCAATCTTGGAAAATCAGTGTGACCGTTCTAAAAAAGGTGACCCACACGGTAAATGCCCTGGGGACCAAGGACACATCCTGAAATACAACATTGGTAGAAACAGATTAGCAAAAATTAATTCCTCTTGAAGGATTTTCTTTTCCAGCCTGCTGAGATTATCTTCATGTACCAATTGTTCGTTTGTTTGTTTGTTTTTATCTAGCAGGCGATGGGCAGATCCATGAGAGGAAGGAAGGTGTTGTAGGGCAAAACTATCAGCAAAATCAACAAATTGGAACATCTCCAGACATGGTGGGTGACGTGGTTCCCTTGTTTTTTGAAGGAGGAGAACCAGCCGTGAAGCATCTCAACGCAGAGAGGCAGCGGCAGTACCATTTAGCAAAGAGGAGAGAGAGTTCTGTGGCTTATACCCAGGTCCCCCAGCCTCCGGGTCAAGGTGCATCTGGAAAGACCAGGCACAGATCCAAGATCCCAAGAACCTGTAACGAATGTGGGAAGACGTTCGCTCAGGCTTCCAACCTCCTGGCCCATAAGCGGATCCACACGGGCGAGAAGCCCTATAGGTGCGTCCACTGTGGGAAAAGCTTCACCGAAAGGTCGAATCGTAACCGGCACCAGAGGACTCATTCGGGAGAAAAGCCCTACCATTGTCTCGACTGCGGAAAGAGCTTCAGCTTCAGGTCCGACCTCATCCGACACGGGATCACCCATACGGGAGAAAGGCCGTACAAATGCTCGGACTGTGGGAAAACCTTCAGCCATGCCTCGACGCTCATTCGGCATGAGAACATCCACACGGGGGAGAAACCCTACTCCTGCGTGGACTGCGGGAAATGCTTCACCCAAAGTTCATCTCTCCTGGCGCATAAGCGGCTGCATACCGGAGAGACGCCATTCATCTGCCCCGTCTGTGGAGAAAGCTTCAACTGGAAGTCGCATCTGGTGACGCACAAGCGAACCCACACAGGGGAAAGGCCGTATAAATGCACCAAGTGTGAGAAGAGCTTCATCGAGAAATCCAAACTGAACAGGCACCAGAGGACCCACGCGGAGAAGGAACTGTATGGGTGTGGGGAGTGCGGGAGGATCTTCAGCATCCGATCCAACCTGCTTCGGCACGAGACCACACACCGAGGGGTGAAATCCTACCCCTGCCTGAGCTGTGGGAAAAGTTTCAACCAGTCGTCGAAACTGATGCGGCACGAAAAGGTCCACACCGGAGAGAAGCCCTACTCCTGTTCAGACTGCGGGAAAAGTTTCAGCCAGACCTCCGAACTCCTGCGGCACGAAAGGATCCACACCGGAGAGAAGCCGTACAAATGCTCGTCCTGCGGGAAGTGCTTCAATCGCAAATCACACCTCAGCACCCACGAGGCAACCCACGTAGCTGACCTGCCAGCTGGAGGGCTCCATAGCAGGACAGTCTATGACAGCAGCTCACTCTTTATTGCAGGGCTGAGTTCCCACCAGCAGACCTACGCAGAGGGCCAGGCCTATCCGGGCTCAGAAAATGAAAAAGACTACAGCCATAGTTCGATTTTTATCGCAGGGCTGAATCCCAGCAGGCCTACACACGTAGATGACCAGCTCTATGAATGGCCCAGCAGCAAGACAAGCTACGGCCATTGTTCACTCCTCATCACTGGAGTCAATCCACAAGAAGGCGCCCAAGCAGAAGAAGCCCTGTTTCCATGTTTGGATAGAGAGACCAGCTACACTTGTAGCCCGTTGTTTAAAAGCATCATGAACACACGGCAGGTCGTCCTTTCAGGAGGCCGACCTATTGCCTGCCTGGACCGCGAGAAAAACTACAGCGACCCTTCGCTTTTCCAGAAGGAGGAGAAACTGTTTAAATGTCTCGAATGTGGAAAGAGTTTCAACTGGCAGTCTCACTTCACTCGGCACAAAAGAATTCACACGGGAGAAAAGCCATACTGTTGCACGGACTGTGGGAAAAGTTTCAACCGCAGGTCACACCTTGTTCGACATAGCAGGACTCACAACGGACTGAGCCTGTACTCTCAGACTGTGGAAGAATCCTCAGTCCAGGACCTTATTTTCTTAAACCCAAGCGAATCAATGCAGGAGAAAACTGTGATTAACACACAGGCTGTGGGGGCTTCCTTTATGGCTCGCACGAGGTTACCGCCTGGAAACGTCACAATCCTGCCTGCTGAAACCACTCAGGAATAAATCTTGTGAAGGTTCAGTGCAGGATGTATTACTCAGCCCAGGGAAATGCTTTGTATTGGGCAATTTAGTAGTAGAACATCAATTCTCACTAGGCCCAAATGCCCTCTGGCAAGGGAACAGTGGCCTTAGCCTTTACGAATAATAGATTGTAAAACTGATCCTAGCAGGAGAGGTTTTTCCATAAAATAATTCTAAATCTCCATGCTCACTGAAAAGTAGCATGTCAAGGAGCTAAATTAGCAATCTCCCTGAGGGGCTTCTTCTATACCAAGGATCTTCAAACTTGGCAAGTTTAGGACTTGTGGACTTCAACTCCCAGAATTTCTGAGCTAACGACTGGAGGAGGAATTCTGGGAGTTGAAGTCCACAAGTCTTAAAAGCTGTCAAGTTTTGAAGACCTCTGTTCTATACACTTAAGGGCTTTTTTTAAAAAAATACAATCCCATGTCTGATCTCTCATTCATGTTCAAAAGAAGGCTAGTAAAATTTTCAACCTGATGCCAAACCGAATGGAAGAATTCATGCCAAGGATGTTTTCTTTTTTCCCGCCTTTGCAAATTCTTCCAGTAGAGCTGAGATGGGGAAACCTGGCCTCTCCAGTTGTTGCTGTGTTTTCACTATCATTCGCCTCAGACAGTGAACATCAAGCATGATGGGGAATAGAGTCCAGCAGGGTCTGGCGTGGTACAGGTACTCGGTCCCAACTGTCAGGGAAATGGCTGGATCACTCAAGATAATAATGGGATTGTAGAACTGAATAGAGCTCTCAATATTAGAAAACTCCTTCCATTAAATTAAATTATTCCAGTATTTGAGGGGCTGCCACAAAGAAGAGGGGGGGTCAACTTATTTTCCAAAGCACCAGAGGGGCAGGACAAGAAACAATGGATGGAAACTAATCAAGGAGAGAGAAGCAACCTGGAATGAAGGAGAAACTTCCTAACGGGGAGGACAATTAACCAGTGGAACAGCTTTGCCTTCAGAAGTTGTGGGAGCTTCATCGCTGGAGGTTGTTAAGAAGAGACGGGACAGTCACCTATCTGAAATAGTATAGCATCTATTGTTTGAGCTGGTGAGGCCAAACTAGAAGACTTCCAAGCTCTATTCTGATTGATTGAAATTAAATTTTAAAAAACCCAACTTCCTCACCTGTGTTTTGAGAGGCAAGTTCCACTTAGGCTAGTAACAGCTATTTCCCTGCTTTCTGAAAACTAGATCTTCAAGCCATTTCCATATGTCTATATAGATAGAAAAGGTAGCCTAAAGGAAATTGCATGAATTGGTAAGTTTAGATGAGAACATATTAGAATGACAGTTACAGGCAGTCTTTGACTTAATTGAGCCCAGAATTACCACTGTAAATCAGGTCTTTAAGCAGGATGTCAGGTAACCACACCTGACTCTACAACCTTTTCTGCTGAGGTTGTTAAATGAAATTTGCTGCTATAAAACAAATCCATTGACTGTAATGGGTGTTGTTATTTTTGCTGGAAACCAGAAGTAGAAGCTGGTTTCTGATTTTAAAAAAAAATTCTAGTTGTGTGACCTCTGGGACACTGCAAACAATGAAAAATGTGTTGCCAAGTGCCCAAAATGGGATCATGTTAATTGGGGGGTGATTTGTTAGAACAAGGATCTCCAAACTTGGCCAGTTTAAGATTTGTGGACCTCAACTCCCAGAATTCCTGAGCTAACGACTAGAGGAGGAATTCTGGGAGTTGAAGTCCACAAGTCTTAAAGCTGTCAAGTTTGAAGAGCCCTCTGTTAGAACTTTGAATCTGGATCATAAGTCGTCTTGCGGAGGTCCATCTGAACTTTGAATGGTTGCTAAGCAATCACTGTGAAGAGGTACATAACTCTAAGTGTTATTGCTATCTGAATTTTGATCACTTCACCATGGGGATGCTGCAACAGTCATAACCGTGAAAAATGGTCATAACTCACTTTTTCAGTGTTGTAACTTCAAACAGTCACTACAGGAAGTGTTGTAAGTCAAGGGCTACCTGTATATGCTAGGAAAACATGGGATAACTCCTTGTAGGATTTTTTTTTATACTAGACCATATTAAAAATAGAAAGGAAGAACCTTCTTCCTAAAGGGAGATGGAGAGAAAATTGGGACTGGATTTGAAGATGCTAAAAGCTCTGGAATAACGTCTGCGGTCAATAGTTTGCAACAACTACTTCTTGAATTAAAATAAAGATGTTAAATGAATTCTCCTTGACCCAAAATCTTTTTTTCTCCCCCTGGGTCCATATCTCAGCTCTTCAAGAAGACCAGGATTGTATTATATTTCTTACGTACTACTCCGTCTTTTGCTGTTTAACTTTCCTCCTTAATGTTCTTTCAGATTTAACTCAAAGGATGGCACCTCCGGAGATGCCAACAGTAATTTAGACACGCCCAATGTTGTGTAGATTTTGTGGGCTGGTGTTGGAAGTTAAAACCCATTCCTCTCCTAGAAAAATGAAATATTTTAGGATATACTAAAAAAAAGGGCAGAATATTTCCCCTGAAACAGAAGTAGAAACTCAGCCCTCCCACACCTTTGTTAATGGGTGATTAAGGCCTGGGCCAGTCTATTTTACATAACAAAGATCTACCTCCTTCAGGCAGAGCCATTTAATTGCCCTTCATTGTACCACCTACCAAGTTTCAACCAAATTTAGTATACAGACAACCTACAAAGCTAGCTATTACCTCTGACAGCAACCAGTCAGGATACTCTTCCTGTGCCCCAGGATGTTCAAAGTCCAGAGAGGGCATAAAACCCAGGAATTCTCAGCATCTCTTCCCTTTTCACCCAGGATCTCCAAGTCATGTGGTCCTGGTCATCAATAAACCATCTTTCCAAGCCGCTTCCATGTTTCCAGTGTCTTTTTCCCCACTTGGAACTGAACCCAGAAGGATATTTCTTCCAACACTGGTCAGTAATAGAAGACATGGATTTTTACTTTTGTGAGTTTTCCCCTCCTTGACAATTTCATTAGACCTAGTTTAGATCAATTGCACTAAAAATTGGTTCTGTGTGTCATTCCAATAATTCTAAAGTGGTGGTGACTCTCGGTGATGGGAGTTGTACTCCTGCAAATTCAAACTGGGGAAACTTTCTTGACATTTGCAGTGCACTTTGCATATATCGGTTATTCATTTATTTGATTTCTATAGCCTCCCATCTCAACAAACGACTCTTAGGTTAGATTCGTATATCCAACTATAGACAAGGTTTAGGGGCAGATCGTCGTGGAGAAAAATCTATCGATGTGATCGGTGGGGATGGAAAACAATTGGCTGGCAAATTAAAAACAAAAAAACCCTTTCAAACTGAGCCCCGGGGCGGAGGGGGGGGGGGGGAAGAGATCGGACGAACGTGTTTTTCGGCCACCTGTCCCTAGATGGCGTTGTACAAATGATCAACGCGCGCGCCTAGATAGGTGTCAATCCAGCGCAGCAGCCCAACGGAAACTTGAGTTAAAAGGAATTGAAACCATCAAGTATTAAATTACTAGAGCGGATGCCAGAGTAGAGAAGACCAGAGGAACTTCCTGTTCCTGCTCATCCCTGGGAGAAGGATGGTATGAGAGGTGGCACTCTTGTTCTTCCCAGGGTCGCAACAGCAGCTGGAAGGTGAGTTGAGGATAGGTCGGAGGAGCAAGCCGGTTTGCTCCTTGGTGTAAAAGCAGAAAAGCTGCTACAATATTCCTCTCCGCCCCAGATTTTATTCCACTGATGCTGCAGGCTTTAAAATTGGTGCCTGCAATTTTCTGTAGGTTGGGAGATTTAAAAAGTCTCCTTCAAGGTAGAATTGAGTTCTTGTGATTTTATTGACATGTTGTTTTCTTGGCAACAATATGGGACCAATCTGCCACCACTGGCTTCTGGGTTGTTGTTTTTTTAACTTCTGGGTTCAAACATAGGATTTCCTGGTGGTGCCCCATCCATGTATTAACCAGATTCAGCTCTGCTTAACCCTTAACCTAGGATTTGGGGAGCCTAGTTCCCTGTTTTTAAAAATAGCTATTGGGGATTATTTGGGATGTTCAGTTGTATTGGTAGTCCTCGTTTACCACTTGTTAGTGGCTATTATGACTCTGAAAAAAAGGAGGTTTATAGCTGATCCTTGAGGGTGTGGTGCAGGGCTGGGTTTCTACTGGTTCTGTCCACCCTCTGTAGAACCGGTAGCTCTGAAGAGCAGCAGACATAGAACCGGTTCTATGTCTGCTGATGTTTTTGCCCACCCGTCCCACTCTCTGGGCTCTTACCTGATCTTTATTTCCTGATTTTTCAACTTCAGCTGAAGTTGAAAAACAAGGCACAGCTGCAGTTAAAAAAACAAGAAAAGAGGGCTGTTTCAAAGGCTGCTTCTCTGCTGGCAGCGTGCTAATGAAAATTAACAGGTGCACGTGGCTCACAGCGGGCAGGGAAGCTCGTAAATCCCGAACCGGTAGTTAACCCTGTGGTTGCCGCAGTGATTTGGGTGTGACAACAGGTGCACAATGATAATGGTCACAGTATTCTGCAGTCGGTGATCACTATTTGCGGACCGTTGGCCTTGAAACTCAGGCACTTTTAAGTTTGGTGTGTGGACAACTGGTACCTGAATTTGAGAGAGATACTTTTACCTTTGCAAAGGGGCTTTTGAAAATACAAATCACCAAGTGATTCAGGCAAAGCAAAAAAAGCATTTAAGGGGGGGAGGGGATTTTTATAGGATGCAGAAACATGATACATTTATTTGGCATAGGTGATGCATCATAAAATAAGCGATCAAATTAAAAGATACCATTTACAAGTAACACATGAACAACAGGAAACTTTGACTAGATAAAATTCCACAAGTGGCAAATTTGTGGCTTAAAATACTTCCTTTCCTGGCCTGGCTTGCACTTTTTAGACTTGCAAGTGTACAGGTAATCCTTGACTTGCGTCATTCATTGGGCAACCCAGGCCTTCCTCCATCCCTTGACACCCCTTCTCCACATAATGACGGTAATGTGGAGAGCCAAGATTGCATGGGTGCCTTGCTTAATGAC